GTCAGTGCAGTTTACAGGTGGGAGAAGTTAAATTGCATTTCAGAAACATTCTTCAGAAAGTAAAATGAAAAATAAAATTACACCTTTTATTACAATCACAATGATACTGCTTTTAACAAGGCAGTTTAATAAATAGTTTATACTGACTAATAAAATATATAAAGAGTAAAGAAATTTTAAAGTCAAATGTAAATTATATTGCTGTCAGAAAATATTTTCCTGTAAAGTATATACATAACCCATAATGAAGAAGTTATGGTCAAGCACACAACTTTTATGTTTCACAACTGCACTAAGGGATCTTTGCAAAGATGTAAAATACGTTTACTATGCGCCAATTTGATATCTACCATCATGTTGTTTTAGACAATCATGATTTAATATAATCACCATTTCAAGGAGATAGTGCAGAGTGGATTAACAACTGAAAGAGGTTTAGGAAATATGTACAAACGATATGATTCTTTTCCTGATCGGAAACAAACCGCGAGCCATCCCCGACAGAGTGACCGTCTACAAATTTTGCACCATATTTAATGTTATGCCATTCAAAATGTAATGTGTGTGTGTGTATATATATATACAAACAGTAAAACCTCGCTGATTCAGAATAACTGCAAAGTTCTGTCTAAACTAGTGAAAAAAGCCAGTTCATAAAATTTATTTATTATAGAAAAATGAAGTTTTCTCATGAAGATATAAATTTTAAATCGTTCTTTCCAATGTCTGAAAAATCTGAATTCATGGGGTTTTACTATATGTCTGCCCATATATATTATATCTAAATATATTTATTATATACATTTTCCATTTTACTTTTTTTATAGCACATAGTTTTTTTTCAGAATCCACAATTCTTATATCAAAGTATAATAGTATCCAACATGCCGAAGGAATGATCTCACTAAAGGATAATTCCAATAAAATACTTTTCGCCGAATACAATTATTAGCACAGTGGGTCCACACAAAGGCAAAGATTTAATTTCCTGTATTCAAAATGAAAACACTATTTTCCAGTATCCCATTTCATTCATATTAGTAAGTAAAACTAGTGTTATATACATTGTCAGTTTGTTACCTTTAAACCCACATGGATAGATATAACAGGTAGCATCAATGAAGTCTCAATTACAGTAACAAGTTTGTTTCATTCTTCGGTCAGGCAGTGTTTCTTTGCAAAGGACAAAATGTTAAATTCATTATCCTTGCATTTTAACTTGGGAAATTATTGAAAAATACACACTAGCATACACTTCAGAAACTTGTTCCATCAGACTGAAAATTTGTGTCCAGTAGAATTCTTAATGTTGTTCCTGCCTTCTTTGTGCTTACACTGTGTAAAAGTAGGGTGTTGGCAACACAGCTCACTTCTACACAGTACCAGAACCCAAAAAATACAGAATCAATGTTAAGTACGATCATTGTCAAAACTTAAAATCTGTAGAATTCAGTTTCTTGCAAAACTTTCTGGAATAACAGCCATTAATTATAAATTTGAACATGCAATTTAATAACCCAATAAATGTGGTTTTGAAGAACACGTGTTTCACTTTATACAGTGAGATGAGACACAATAAAAACAGAATGGTTTGTTACTCACTGGAAACAGGAGGCAGCTTGCAAATCCTACCTCATCCAACACTGGCACAGCTGAAAATCTCTTTCCATTATTTAAATGATACAATATTGTGATATTACATTACAAATAAATGAAACAGATATAATTTAATATACAACTTTTATTCTATGCCTGATTCAGAATTCAGATACTGATTTTTCTTTAAATAACATCTTTACATGAAGTCATATGAAAACTGTTAAAGGTTCAGTGTTGAATGTATTAGGACTGTCTGGCAAAAGACGGTAAAGTAAAATAAGTTATTGCATTTTTTTTAGCAATGGACCCTCAACCCATTAGAGTTTCCTTTAAATGCCATGCTACTTGCATCGAACATCCATTTCAATGGCAGGGTCAGAGCAGGTAACAAATGCGATGCTTTAACCTTTATCATATGCAAACAGGGAGTTTAAGATCCTGCACCACACACTTGCTGGCTGGACATTAACTCTAGGATTTAATGGGCATTATGCCACTGTAATACATGGGCATCTGGACTGAGTGTACGCTGTGCCACACAGCCACTAAAAGTTAACAAGAACATGATCTCTGTTTGTGGTGTAACTTACATTTACATTACAGCTGCCCATGAGTACAGCCTGATATATTACACTCCACTGGGTTAAGGTTAATTTAAGGACAAGTTTTACTTATGTAATCATGTACTGTAAACGTTAATCTGAACAGAGAAACGCAGGCGTTACCCTTAATGAAATAAATTTGTAATGAAATCATGAAACATTTGAGAATGCAAAGTGTGCTCAATAACTTATCTTTTCAAACCATTCTGCAGATACCAGTTCATTTTAATGAGCAAATATTTCACACTGGTTTTTATTACCCCTTGTATTCATAAAGTATCCCATTAATTGTCACAGTTTATTTAGCATCCAGAAAAAAGAAATAGAAACATAGAAAGGATTGACTCGGGGTTTGAAGAGGGAGACCGTCGTTTCCATTTGGCACGATCACGTTAAAATTAAACAAGATAAAACAGCCATGGTTTCAAAACATTAAGAACTACACAGCAATGGGGGAAATTTGCAACAAGTAATTTACAAACTGACATCTGAAGTAGATGGACTTATCGAATGGCAGAGATTTTTCATATATTTTAAATTCAAGTGAAAAAGACTCTTTTATTATGTGTATCATTGTTTTGGTATCAATCTTAAAATGCTGTAATGTAAAAATCCACAGAGTGTTACTTAATGAATAATGTCAACTACTTTTCAATAACACTTTCAAGAGTGGTATAGTTCTTCTGAATGAAGGCTATTTTTTGTTTACATTCATCAACTCCTTTGTTACCTGCTGAAACAAAACCAACTTCTTATTTTTCCTGCCCTTTCTGTCTGCTTCTAACCTGTAAGGAAGCTATATTCTCTCACATGCTAATTTATTCTGGAGAGATCTCTAGTAAGACCACATACAAGTTCATATCATAATCTCATAAATAATAGTAATAATAAAAAAACACTGTTCTCTCTTGGTATACACTTACACTCAACGCTCATATGTACATTTTAACTTACATATTAGTTTAAAGTAACTGAGCATTTTTTTTAGTATGGAGTTAACTTTCATGTCACTGAAATATTGATCAACAATATTATTTTATTTAAGTTCACTTTCAATAGTTTTTTTCTATATAGAAACAACCAAGTTGGCACACGCTTTCTGTCATTCTTCGATGCTCACACTTCCATATTTAGGCCTCACTTGATTTCAAACGACACTGAGATGCAACTAATAAGGACAATCTATAAACTGTAAAAGTTACCAGTGATGGATTATGATGATTTGTTATTTTTATAATGGTATTTGGCCATAATCAATTTAATGAGGGGGCTGAGTGGTGATGACTTTTATTCTATTTCAGTCTTGTTTAGGGAAGTAAGTTTTATGTGATGGTGTATTGCATTGCTTTCTTACTAAAATCTGTGTTCCATAGCTATACTGTCTTATTGATTTTGTCATAAAACTTTGTTATGTTATACACGGTAGTTTAAAAATTGTAAGAAATAGAAAACAAGATTTTAGCAATACAAGCAAAAAATATGAAGTGCGTGACTACTTCAATAATGGGATTCCAACTCATTACTACCATTTTGATTTGTGAATAAGGAGAAAATATATGAGGAATATGTTAACAGATCTGTAACTCTTCGAAAGATCAAAAACATCAACCATAATGTATAATAAAACATAATTCATAAAAAATGCACAGAAATTATGGCAAGCACACAGTGTACCTTGAATGATGGTGCTGTTAGTCTTAGTTAAAAAATTTGGTACCATTACCAATATAATCTGGGTAGAATGAACTCTGCAACTACTATATTTTATAAAAAAATATATGTTTTTCTGCTAGGCTCACAATAATACAAGGCAGGTAGCAGCTGATTTTCATGGAATTTGCATTATTTGGAGATGAACTTCATGGCATCCCAGCTCTCAGATTTACGAAGCTTTATTTTCCATGGAAGGGAACGTCATCTGGTGACTGAAGATATTTGGCTGCATTAAATGCAATTTTTCTCAGAAGACGTTACAAAATGGTGCTTTGCTTTTCAAGTTGTACCACACTGTGTGTATCATTGTCAAGGTGTTAAATGGTAGCCATGGCTTCTTTTAGACAGATTGTAGCAGGGGCGATCAATAAAAATATTTTTCTTTCATGTGATTTGAAGCTTTGGCAGCGACTGAACTCGATAAAATCTTCTCGGGCAACTGGACACATCAGTTGGTTACACGGAGATAACAACGTTTCAGGAACAATCCGTCTCCATCATCAGGGTTTTGAATTTTTTATTTTTATCATTTAACACAGATGAATATTTCTTACACATTTTGGCATACTTTCAACCTTTACAAACAGGCCTGCTGTATGTCCCCATTCCTTCCCCTGCTTTATGTAAGTCTCAAAAATTTATTTTTCAGCCACATGACAAAAATTCATCACACATAACTTACTTTTTACTGAATGAGTATATGGGATTTAAGCTATTATAAAGATGAGCCATAGATGCTCTTGGATTAACGGTTTGGCAGTGTGACTTTGGCTTTCACGTGAGAGCCGTGTTGTTAACCAATATTTTGGGAAAAACATGCAGTTGCCATTTTCAAGGAGGGTATGAGATAGGGCAAGTTCTGTAGGCTTTATATAGGGCAGGCAGGCTGAGATCAAGAATGAGTAAGAGCTATATCTCCTTTCCCCGTAGATGCCTACACTGCATGCAACTGTACTTTTACTCTTAAAACCTATGGATCAGCTGAAAGCTTCATTCCATGGACTTCACAAATATAACACATTTTGCTTTTACTTTGCTAATAAATGACTGCAATTATTTATGATTCATGGAAATAAACAATTATTTGATAAAAAATTAATACTACATGCTGTAAGTGTAACAATCATTCAGGGTACAACTCATAGCAAGCCATTACATTTCTTAGATAACTGTAACTTAATGTTACAGAAATTACAAATAACAGATAATTAAGTACACTGCAATATGCTTACTCCCTGACAGATATAGTTATTGTGATGGTCATTTGGTATATTTGTGCACACATCATTCTAATTGTGACCACTTTGTTTTTGTAGTGCTCAGCCTGGTCTGTAGCAGTCAGTCAGCTGGCACAGCACACAGAAGGGCCAAAAAATACATTTCTTATCAATATGCTTAAGACTTATAACAGCATCATCTTCATCTTAGACTCGTATTTCAAATGTATTCTGTACCCAATGTACACTTCTCAAGCCCTGTAGATGAAAATATACACAAATACCACTTGGGAGTCTTGCCTTTTAATGAGCTCGCTGAAATGCATTTTGTTTTGGGATGTGGAATGTTGGAAAGGCTGGTGTGTTTCATTTGAGAAGTGTAACACATAGTAAACTGAAGAGTACTTTCCTTATCTACAGTGAAACCTCTATCCATCGTTCCCTGAATGCATCGTCTGTTTTGTTCGGTCCCTGATACGTCCCATATAAAATAATGTTACATTTTCTCGCTTCTATCGTTCCTCGAACTGTCGTTTTATCTCATCAATCGTTCAAAAATCTTAGTCCTGGCCCACAAATTATTTCTCTCCCCCGTCAAAAACGAGCATTGAGGTTTCACTGTATAAGCTGTTGTCTGCACAGGTTCATACCTTATAATCCTCCTCTCATGCAGCTAACTAGAATAGTGTGGGGAAATATGAAATGATGGAAAATACATTCCTTGTGAGCCATTTGTAATGAGTGTTTGTACCCTGGATAGAACATGGGATGATTAAAATTGCATTGGACAGCACCACAATTTATGAAATGACAATAAATCATCCATATATGATCACTCAAACAAACAGCACTCAAGATGACAACAAACTGGATACCTGTGTTCCGAACAGATGAATTTGCGCAGCTATTAATAACTAGCACGATGTGTGTGTTTAAAAAAAATTTTCTACCTACGGATACTCCATGATCAGTGTTTATATTCTGGATAACGTTTAGGGCGTAGAAGGGCGGTCTGCTCTGTCCCTGAAACACTAGATGAAGCAGCTGTTTCCCTGGACGAATCGTTGTCTTCGTCGACCGAATCTTCGCTGGCCGAACGCCTCAGGTGTTCTGTGGATTGGGAGCCAGCAGCAGAAGTCATGGCAGGGGCTGCTGATGATGAGGGACTGGGAGAATCTGGTGAAGATTCGTCTTCACTTTCTGAGGGCGGAGGGGAGGGGTAGTACTCACGCTTTACTGCCCCTCCCCCTGACACCACACTTGATGTTGATGCCATAGAGGGTTTATCTTGCTGCTGCTGCCGTGGACTGGCCCTGTGATGTGAGTGATGGCGCGTGTGATGAACCACTCCACCACGCTCATATGAAGATGACCTGTGCTTGGCAGTCACCGGAAGGGCTTCCTCACTCGCCGACCGGACTAACTGTTGTTGAGCTTGAATAAATTCATCACTAGAAAATAATAATCATAAACAACAACAACAACAACAAAAACAGAGGTTTCTTGCCTTAATTTGGCTTTGTCATGCAAATTCTGTAACATGCAATGACCATACACACGCACATTGTTGCACTAAGTACACTACAACCTGTAATGGGTTTACATCATCTACCTAAAAGCATGCAACTATTTTCTTGTCTCTTCTCATTTTACTTTTGATATATTTTTTCCCATTTCTGTAGTAATATATCCTAATCTCTTTAGAATGTTTCCCACAGGGAGGAAGAAGGCAAACAATGACTTGACCAATGCACAAAAAAGAATTAAAATAATTAAAGAAACTACTAAATTCTCAAGGTCTAAATCCAAAACAATGAAACTAAGGATCAATCAAATATCAGTTATATGTTAGGAAGCCATGCCTCACCTTTCACTGTCTGGTGTGTCACCACACAGCTGGTCCCCACCTCTGTCATGGTCGGCGGTCTCGTAGATTCCCTCTTCTTCCTGCAGATGGTGATGATGGTAACCAGGTGGGTGTCGACCAGTGGGATGTCGGTACCTCCCATACACAAATCTCGGCTCCTCCTCCCGACCTCGGCATCGGCTGCATCACATGAAGGAGCATAAAATAAATATTGTCTGCTTACATGTGAAATGTATCCCCAATGAATAAACTATTAACAACAGTAAATTTTATGAAGAGTGGTAGTGGTGATATTATTGTTGTATAGTGCACTCTTATGAAACTGTTTTCCTAAGATGTAAACCATTTAACACAAAGTAAATATCAGCATTTAAAGCACTGTATAGCTCACAAAACAAAATATTTTAAAAGTAAATACAATTAAAGATCTAATTTTGGTGGGCAGTTCTTCTTTTTACATCTCACAAAAATTTACCAATAAGAACATGTTAGAGTCAATGAAATTATTATCATAATAGTTGTAGTGCACATATAATTGCTTCAACTGTCAATCAAATGTGCTAATTATCTAGAAAGAAACTTTATACTTTCAACTATCGATGAATTGTTCCTTAATCCAATTTTATTTTACTATACGTACACATTATAAAAGAGATAAATGAACTACTGAGATAATAACATACTTCAAGTTAGGGCTGAGCACTTACCACAATAAGGGCTTCTTATAGGGGTTAATGTCTCAAAATCAGAGCAATTAAAATCTTGACTTTCTTAATGCTAATGATGAAAAAGAAACCAATCTGACTATCAGAATTTTCTGACAGTGTATCAAGGAATACAAAACAGACATGAAATAAAAACAAACAAAGAACATTTACTAAATTTATGCTAATAAGTCGTGTATTCTAACCTCTGTGTATTGGTTAGCTCTAATTCCATTCAGTGCTCAGTCCTGTTCCAGTCATTTGCTATGGGAGATGTCATGATGATACAACATTAATAATGGAAGCAAGACACAAACAACAGACAAATTCCAGGCTTAACAAAAAGAAAATCTATTTTTAACACAAAAAGATGTTTCTCGTAATTAATCAAGTATGGACACAAATGATATCAAAGTGAAATTATTATGTTCATGCTACTGAAATAAATATTATTAGATATGACAATGTAAAATGTGATCAGTTGGTAGCATTTCACATCCAATTAAATTGAGGTTTTCTTAAGTGATAAAAATTTCATTACAATGGTAAAAAAAATGGGAATTCAAGGAAACAAGAAAGCCCTATAGAACAAAAAATCACATTCCTAATTACTCAAAATATGTGGAATAAAGAAATTTGACTAATTATTGGCCTGTACTTTATGATTATTATATAACTTAACACAATAAATGAAGATGCAAACAATTATCCTCCTTAATTATAAGCACACACTGAATATAAAAACATGATATACATATATATAAGTGTGAGAATCATGAAGCAAAAATGTAATAATGGTACAACAAATTCAGTTTAAAGTATTAATTATCCAACATCTAGGTTACAACCAGTTGAAGCATGCTCAAGACTTCTAAAGATATTTGTTAACAGTGTGTCATGATTACAACACACTAATTACACTGGGTACTGGGTAATGCTGGTATGATCGAGTATATTTTTGGATTCTGAAATAATATGGAGGAGTAAATAGTGCAGGCTGATGATTATACTGAAACTGATATTTCTATGAAAGTGTAATCTTGAATGCACTCATATTTTTGTCTTCATTTTCCTTAATAGATTCAAGCTATAGCACGAGGGATCAACTGAAGAAAGACAGAAAACAATCCGTAGGAAATCCATAACTGTGTTTATATTGTGTCACCATACTAATTTCATATGTCAAGTTAAATTATCTGTAAGTTATCAGTATCTAACCAACCATATTTTAAAGGGTTGGAGGGGGATTTAGAGGTGTGTAAGCTTTGTTCATTTAATTAGAGTTTATATTATTTATACCCATTAGACACACAAAGCTTGTTAACATCATTTATTGTGTTTATCATAAAATAGGCCAATTTAACCAAATACTATAATAATAACTTCTGTACATGGCGCAACAACCCAGAAGACAGCAAGCTTCATCAGGAATGAAATAACGAATGTTGGAAAGTGGATGGTTTATACAGGGATATGAGACAGATCAGGCCACAGGAGTTAGCCAGTCAGAACCATGGGATAAAAAACCCTTTTGGGGGCATGTTAAAGAAAAGCCAGGTCAAGAGAAAGAGAAAATATGTATAATGTCTAATGGACCAAAGAGGAAGGTAGGACCAAATTGAAATATTGTTCTGGATTTAATTTTCTTCTTCCATTCTTTCGGGGTGTGAATAAGGGGTTTTCATAATCTACTTAGGAAGGATTTATACTCTCTGTTGAGGTTGTTATGATAGAGGCTCGATCTCTGTCACTTCCCTGACGATCCTGTTCGTGACTGTATTGACTGTCCAAAATACTCTGTCACTTAACAGGATATGATGGCCCAAGCTGACAGTGAATCAGCCATGGCTGAATTATCTAGATGATAAAACTGGATACTGTGATGGTAATTTTTAACTTTTATTGTCAATAAATCACATTTGACATGCAGTCCAGCGTTATGTGTGTGTTGCATTAGCATACTGCTAAACCATTAACCTTTTAAAAATGAAGCTTTCCTAAATAATATTTAATAATTCAGTCCATACTGCAAATAAAACAAAACACTTCACCATTACAAAAATAAACTTGTTGATGCTGTTTAGGGAAATAATCACTGTTTACACTAAGAATCATATGAAACCCATAAATACAAAATGAAGAGTTAAAGATTGTTGAAGCAGGTGAGACATATAGTTACTACTGGGGTTTAAACGGTTAATCTTGGAGTTAAGTCTGGCCAGTATGTCAGCAGTACAGGAGTTAAATC